TTACAGGAAAGTTATCCAGGTCACTCCTTTGGTTTGTTATTTGTATATCCCTTTTAATTAATAAGACATCAGCTTGTTTCATTTATATATCCAGTGTAGCATCTTTTTCCATATCATTCTTATAGCCTGTCTTTTTCAGATCAGTCTCAATCTTGTCCAGTAAAACTTGTTCCTCTTCCATAACATCTTTTAAACACAGTCTATTTATGGAAGCAGATACTCTTAAAATAAACTTCTGAATCAGTTCTTCAAAAATATCCTTCAATATGTTGAGTGTTAAAATATTTTGCTCCATTCTGTATTAGTAAATCAGATTTACGTGTTCTTCTCCTTTAATTGTAATCTTTCGTTCCTTCTGGTTCCCTCTAGTGTCCATCCTTCAAAGTCTCATCCTATAATTTTTTTTAAAGAGAATTCAAAAGAAAAGCATTTTCCCATGGGAAGAATTCTTATAATTCTTATTTCAAATCCATCTGGACCCTTAGTCCATTTGTAACTTTCCAAAATCAAAGCTCTAATCACCCTTTGCTGTTTATTTCAAAAGAAAAAAAATTAAGTCCTTAAACTTCTACTTAAAACTTTTTTTGCTAAGGATTGAAGGAAACTTATCTGGTGCTGTGAAACTTGTTGATCCATCAATTCCTAATAGCTGAAAGGCAGTTAACAAGCAATTTCCGAAAGGGATTAGAAAAGGAAGTATGCGAGCCCAGGGTCCTTTTGAAGGCACCAACCACAGTCTGAGCAAAGATGGCTTTCCCTCATCTCCCAAAGCTCTAAACCCACTGGAGACTGCTGTCTTGTGGTCTCCTTGCAAGGAGCAACCGTATGGACCACTTGTGGGCAATCTCCTTGTCTGGAGAAGAATTATGAAGAGCTGGTCTACTCTCCCACTCTTCATTCCTCCAGGGTCATTGGCTCTGCTTTTAGCAGAGATGTCTTCAGTTCACAATTTCTTCCCTGGAAGTTCACAACAAGTAAAAACAAACTTGATAACTCTTCATCCCCTATAAATTTACAAACAAATATCTCTTCTTCCCATAACCCATCCCTTATCTATATGCAAATCCATAGTTTTCAGCCCTGGGGTCAGCAGAAAGGCTGTAAAGGGTTACCAGAGCATTATAAAAACATGTCTTATTTTAACCTTCATCAAACAAACTAGCTCGATATTCCTTCCTTTTATTTCTAATAATCTTGATCTTTAATTCATGCAGATGTTGTCATAGGATTTGGTCACTCTGCAGAGGCTTCATTGAGGTTTTAACAAACCTCTTTTGTAAATCCAGTAAAAAGTCTTTATCCATGTCATTGTCATGGTTTGTCATTTGTATTTCCACTTTGATTTTCAAATCTTTAACCAGCTTCTTTTGTGTATCCAGTGAAAAGTCCTTATCAGGGTCGTTCTCTTGGCTTGCCATTTGTCATTCCACTTTAACTGCCTTCTCTATCTCGTAATCCACACTTTTTTTTATTATCCAGTATTTCTGGTTCTAGTATTTCTGCATCAGATTTAATATATTTTGGACATAGTCTGTCTATAGAAGCAGACCTCATTGCTGACATTTCTGATATTGTAGCTAATAATTCTTCAAAAATCTCCTGAAGTACTTCTAATGTTATAGCGTTTGGTGTCATTTTGTAAATCCCCACTTTCCTTTTCTCCTGGAATCTTTAGTCCACTCTAGTGTCCAATTTCTGAAATCATAAAGTTTCCAATTTCTGTTTTGACTTAAGATAGACAAAACGTTCTGGTTCCCACAAAATGGTATTTAATTATTTCCAAAATCTTATAGTAAAAGTATCAATATTCCAAAGTTGTCTGGACCCTTAAGGCATTTACAACTTTCTTAGATCAAAATCTTATTTAGCTTTTGCTGTTTATTTCCGATTCTTTACATTCTTAAGCTTATAGTTAATTTTTCTTTTGTTCAAGAAAAAAGGTAAACTCACCATATGGCTTTCCAGACTTATCATTCTGAAGATCTCTAATAGCCTCAGAACAGTCAATAAGCAATTTCCTAAAGTGATTAGAAAGTGAGGTTTGCGAACTCAGTGTCCTTTGAAAGGCTCCTCTGTGGCTGTGAGCATGATGGCTAATCCTGTCATCTCCCAGCTCTCAGGCCTGCAGGAGACCGCTATCCTGCAGTCTCCTTGCGAGGAGCAGCCATCCGGAGCACATGTGGATGATTTCCCATCCTGTCCTTATCTGGAGAGGTTCCAAAGAACTGGTCTACTTGCCGGTTCTTCAGTCTTTGCCGTGGTTGTCGTCTCCATCTTTGTGGGAGGTGCATTTAGCTCCACATGCCTCCCCCAAAGTCTCCAGGCTGCACTTAATGTTCTGGGGGGGGGAGGGCTCAGGCATGTTTAGGGAAGCAGGATTAAGATTTCTTCTGTTTCCCCTTTGCTTTAGGAGTAATGTTCCTTGTATTTTTCACCATGTTAACCCCAAGTTAAGACTTGCTTGGCAGTTTTTACTGAAGCTCTGGGTTGTAGAGGGCCAGAGAGCCCCTCCAGACCTCCTGGGTGCAGCTGGTTCCATCTCACCCCTTGATTAACCACTCACTGCTTGCCTAGTCTAGTCTGTCCCTTCTATGTTTTCTCTCGGTTTCAGGGAAATACGCTGCTATTAATGCAGATGCCATTGACTATCTACTGCCCTTGATCCATGATGGCAAGAGCAAAGTCCGCCTCTATGCCATTAAGGCCCTGACCATGTTGGCAGAAGCCCCTGAAGGCCGCAGGACATTGTTGAGGCATGTGCAAGAGTTCCGGAAGCGGATGGACGACTCAAGTCCAGCTGTGCAGAGAGCAGCCCAGATCGCGGTTCAAGTAATTGAATGGAAACCTTAGAAAGCAGCCTTAGCAACTAACAATAAAGTGACAACAGCTGTCCATGCTGTATCAGACCATTTTGTTTGAGGTGCAACTGGGTAGACTAAGACACAAGGGTATCTGGTGAAGGATCTCTCCTTTTATATCATTCAGGGTGAAGGAGAAGGGGAACAGAATTAAAAACAGCTAACTGGGGAATGCAGAGATTTGACCAACAGGGCAAAATTTCCTGGAAAATTCTGCCACAGAACCTCTGCTGAAATGGCAGGATTCCTGCCCTGTGTCTGTCAGGAGAAATGAGCTAGTGAACAGTGAGAATATGCAGGAGATTGGTGGAAGGGTCTTGAAGAGGTACACATGTTGTTCATCCAAGGAGATGAAGATGAAGAGAAGTGATCCTGTGGCCTGCGCCATGCTTATTTTCCTCTACGAAGACCACAATTATATATGCTTCAAGCACAGGCTGATGGCCTCCTGGAAGAAAAGGTATAAGGACAAGAGGCAAATCTGTCCATGCTCCAAACTCACCAAGGCAGACGAACAATTCTTGGAAAAGAGACAGGAAGCCTGTCAAAAAGAAGCCTTGTTCTCTGGAGCTTCACAACAGATTCCAGTGATGATGTTTCTGCTGCTGCCCCAACCTTCAGGAAATGAGGACAGCTCTGCAAAAGGTAGAGAGGAGTCCTGCCTCTGCTGTGATGAGGTGGAAGAACTTGTGGTGGAGATTGGAGACCCTCTACTGAGAGGGACTGAAGCAGCAGTCTGTGGGCCCATCAGCAAATGAAGAGGAACATGCTGACTTGATGGAAATGTGTGGGGAACCCTTGATGGGATGGCATGGGAAGACATGGGATAGCATGGGAAGCTTTCCCTCCTAGCTGATCCACGCAGGAATAAATGACGTGAAGATGTTGTAAGGGACTATGAAACACTGGCAGGAGGGTGAAAGAGCTGGGGACAGAGGTGATGTCTTCTTCACTCTTTCCTATATAATTGTTTAAATAATTTACTTAAACAAATAGAGACAAGGTCCAGGAAGAGAGAGAATACTGGAAAGGAAGAAAAGGCTATATGCAGATGTTCCCAATGGGAACAGTTTGGATTGTTCAGTAATGGGATGCATTTCTGAGAAGAGGACCCCTGGCAAGAGATGAGCTGCATGTCATGAGAACGCAAATGCTTTTGGAAGGTACTTTGCAAACCTGATTGGGAGGGATTTAAACTCAGTTCTGTGGGGAGGGAAAATAAAACCCCCAAAATAGTGTGATGCCCAAAGGAGTATGCAGGACATGGAGGCACTCAGGAATAAACAGGAAAGGAATAGGCCAAGTTACATGACCCAAGAATTCCAGTGCCGCTATACAAATATACAGAATATGGGGAACAAACAGGAAAAACTGGGAAATTTATGATTTACTAATCATAAATACTAATATGATTTAGTAAGCCTAGAACAGAGCCTTGTGGTTGACAGTTCCCTCCAGCTCACCCAGAGCCAGTGACAGACACATACTTGTTGGGTATGATTGTTTTTGTCCATCTAACTAATGGTAACCTAGTCCAACCCATGTTCTGCCATCTTCTCTACTAGGGTCTCATGGGTGACTTTGTTGAATGTTTTTCTAGGGTCAAGGTACTGTGTCTACTGCATTCTTGTAATCTTTGGATATGGCCACTCTACTGCAGTGTTTCTCAACCTTGGCAACTTTAAAACATGTGGATTTCCAGAATTCCCCAGCCAGTGTTTTGGTGTCATTACAAATTGCTCTGGACATTGCTGCCGTGATACTGCCAGAAGCTTCTTCAAGACTCACAGATATAATTGTGTTTATACCCATCTTTAAGAGTTGTCACACTGTGGGGGGATTTAAATGAAATCAATCAATCAATCAATCAATCAATCAATCAATCATCTCTCTTTCAACTTTTAGCTCAGGCAAAACTCCCTTTGCATTCACAATGATAACCTGAGCTGGCTCCCATTTTTTCTCACTAGATGGTATGAGATTGTCTAATTCTCAAGAAGATCCCAGACCTCCTGTGCTCCCTCTGATCTGAGGATTCCTCTCCAAAGAGCCATGCCTAGGACTTCTTTAAGCTTGTTGAAATTGGTTCTGCTGAAATGTATGTCTATGCTCCAGTTTCTCTTTCCTCCCAAAGTTCCCATTCTTTTATCTCTTCAACCAGCTCTTCCCTAAGGATTGCTGGATACAATCCTAGGCTAGGATTGAATCCAGGAAAAACAGCCCCTTTATCTGTTCATCAGCCTTGTGGAAGATGAAACAGCACATTCGCTGAGGAATTTGGGGGTCCTTGCAATCTTGGTATCCAGGTAAAGTCTCTCGGTGTTACTAGGTTTCTCCTCTGGTCTGTCTGTCATCTGATCTAGGTAGATTTTCTACCTGTTTGGCAGACTGTAGCACATCCTCACAATACTTTTGTTGTTTCCCTCTCCTTGTATTCCTACCCAAATGCTCTTAAGCTGGAACCTCATGGTCAGATTCTGAATCTCACTATACCTATGCATGTCCTTCACATGTAAAGCCTCCTCTCCTTTTCTGTGGTATATTATTTTTGAATAAGTTATATATTTCAATCCTTACCAACCACTCATGAGTTTCATCCTACTGTGTTTCAGTGATGCCTATTCAATCATATTTGTCTTCTTGTATGAAGACTTCTAGAACTTTTTGATTGTTTCCCATCCTCTCCATTTGTATAGAGACACTGGAATCTTTGTGTTACATAACTCAACCTATTCCTTCCTGTATTGATGTGCTCATTATTGGGTGCATAACTGCATAATGGGGACATGTCCCCATCCCATGTTCAGGACTTGGCATTACATTATTTTCTGGGCTACTTTCTCCCACCTACATATGATTCAGTTTACAGCCCTCCAGATCAGGCTTGTAAGCTGCCTTTCAAATACATTCTTCTATGCTCCCATAAGATGAAGTCTATCTCTTGCCAGGCATCTCTTATCTTGGAGACACATCCCATTATCAAAAAATCCCAACTACTCCCCTTCACAGTATCTGTGCAGCCAGTTGTTCACATCCAATATTCTTCTGCCTTCTTGGACCACTTCCTTTGGCAGGAAGGACTGAATAAAGAACTATCTATGCCCCCAGCTCCTTAATCCTCCTCCCCAGTGTGTCATAGTCCCTGGCATTGTCTTCATTTGTGTCATTTGTACATACACATTCCAAGTGTATCAGCAGAGAGATTCTACAGAAATCTATCTTGGGGCCAGCATTATTCAACACTCTTATTAATGGCCTGTACAACAGGATTGATGGGCCACTGATCAAATTTGCAGATGACACAGATTTGGGAGGTCTACCCAATGCCCAGGATGACAGAATGAAATTGCAATTTAATCTGGACAGGCTGGAAGACTGGACTGAGCAGCACAAGAAGGAAAACTGTAGGGGAGAAAAAGGTAGGACACACAGACAAGATGGGGGATTCATGGTTTGGAAACACTGCATCTGAGAAGGACTTGGCTGAGATCATTAACAGCAAGCTGAACGCCTGCTAGAAGCTCTAATGTGATTTTGGGCTGTATCAGAAGAACTTGCATCAAAGAGGAGGGAAGTTCTTATTCCCCTCTATCTGTGCTGGTGAGACACAGCTGGATATTGATTATGGGTAGTCCTTGTTTAGTGACTGCCTCATTTAGCAACCATTCACAGTTATGATGGTGATGAAAAGGTAACTTTACAACCAATCCTCATATTTATGACTTTTGCAGGTCTGTAAAGCAAAGGAAAGCTGAAGTAAGAAATAAACAGTGTCACGGTTTCACTTAGGAACCATTTCATTTAACAACTGAGCTGCCAGTCCCAATTGTGGTCACTAAATGAGGACTATCTGCATGGGCCATCAAGTCAGTATCAACTCTTAGTGATCACATAGACAGACTTTCTCCAGGATGATCTGTCTCCAACCTGGCCCTTCAAGTCTTCCAAAGGTGCATGTATTGCTTCTGTAATCCATCTACCTTGCTGCTGATCGTCATCTTCTCTTTCCTACCACTTTTCCCAGGCTTTATTGACTTCAAGAGAGCTAAGTCTTCACATAATGTGCCTTCATTGCTACTCTACCATGAGCTAGTAGTCTGTGGCGTATTGTTTGACTGCTGGTTTCTTTGATGTTGATAGTCAATCCTAAAAGACAGAAGCTATCCATCACTTCAGTATCTGATTGTCAGTTCTAAGGCTTCTTTATATTTAATCTTAGTTTCATTTTTTCCTTGACTTCCATTACTAGAGCTTCCAGGTCATTTGCATTTCCAGCTTACAGAGTAGTGTCATCAACACAGCACAGGTTTTTGATGTTCCTTTCTCCAATTTTAAAACTGTGCTCATTTTTTATAATCCAGTTTCTCTCAATACACATTCAGCTAGTAACAGCTGGAGTACTGTGTACAATTCTGGGCAACACATTTCCAGAAATATATGGGCAGATATCCAGAAAGATATGACAAAGATTATATAAGGACTTGAGGATGTGCCCCATGAGGACAGGCTGAAAGAACCTGGGGATGTTCAGGCTGGAGAAAAGAAGACAGAGAGGAGATACTATATTGTATCAGTGTTCTGTTACATTAAATGATGTCCTAGGGAAGATGGCCAGGAACTAACTTCTATTGTCACAGAAACTAAGATCAATAAGAATGGGTATAGGCTGCAGTTACCTAGATTTAATTTAAATGTAAGGTAAAACCTTTATGACAATAAGATTTGTACAACAATGTAATTGTCTACCTATGGAAGTTATGGGTTCTCCATCTCTGGAGGTTTTCAAGAAGAGCCTCTTGAGGTTGGTGTAAGTGGTTTTCCTGAACTTTGTAGAGAGAGAGCTTAGATGATCACTATAGTCCAAATCTATAATTCTATGATTCTGTGATATTTGTTAGTCCTTCCATCATTTCTCGAAAGAGGAATGTAGCATGGTTCTTTACTTGAAGGTCTATCACAAGGAAGAGGCTGTGAAATTATTTTCAGAGTTCC